TATATATATATATATATATATATATATATTTATTTATTTATTTATACTATCTGCCATGGCGCAGCTTGGCCTGTATGGCCCTTGCGCCAATAAACTCTAACAAACCAACCAACCTTTTGACTCACCAGCGGACTTCACTTATACATCTAGACTGGGTGCTTCAGTAATCGATTTAGTAATTTTGAGTGAATGTTTGGTGGCGAGTCTATGTAATTTTGTTATTTCTGATGATTACATGTCTGACCATCATATGGTGAATTTTGAAATTTTAATTGATACTGACGAGGATAGACAGCTTGGTTTGATTGATAGGAGAAAACGATTAACTTGGAAAGAGGATAGATCCAGTCTATATTCTGAAACAGTTCTGGCCGGATATGTAAATATTGTCTTAAGTGACAGATTGGAAGATAGGTATTCTGAAATTCTGGATTTGATTAAGACATCAGCTGAACAATATAGAACAGTGTTTCCCAAACTTTTTAGGCCATGCCCCACTTTAACATTTCTAAAATCATCATGTCCCCCCATACATAATTTTAGTTATAAAATTTATTTTTGTTCTTTTTAGTAATATGAATGATAATTTTAAAGCGATTTCTTACAACTGTTATCAAAACAAAGAAACGAACTTTTAATAAATAAAAAAATAATAGATTTTAAAAATTTACTTTAATGTGATTTGTGGACTTGATGCTTTTTACACAGCGATTTTATATCTGGTTCAAGCTTAGTTAGCTTAAATCTCAAATCTCCACGTTGTGTTATGTCTAGACCAGTGTTTCCCAAACTTTTTTAGGCCATGCCCCACTTTAACATTTCTAAAATCATCATGTCCCCCCATACATAATTTTAGTTATAAAATTTATTTTTGTTCTTTTTAGTAATATGAATGATAATTTTAAAGCGATTTCTTACAACTGTTGTCAAAACAAAGAAACGAACTTTTAATAAATAAAAAAATAATAGATTTTAAAAACTTACTTTAATGTGATTTGTGGACTTGATGCTTTTTACACAGCGATTTTATATCTGGTTCAAGCTTAGTTAGCTTAAGTCTCAAATCTCCACGTTGTGTTATATCCAGACGATTTCTTTTTTTAATCAACAAATCACTCACAGCACTAAAGCCACATTCAGCTAGATATGAAGATGGAAACGGTAATAAGAGTTTTCTTGCACATTTTGTGGTATTGGGGTATTTAGCCTCTGTTTCATCGCAAAGCCATGCCATCGCACCTTTAATATTAAATAGAGTTATTACAGATTCGTCACTTTGCAACTCCGCGAGTTCTTCTTGATATTGCAGATTGGATATATCAGCTAAATCCACCAAAACTGGTTGCACCATCCATGTCGGAAAATTCATTTCTTTTAAATCAGCAAATCTCTCTTTAAAATCCGTAATTAAAATTTTTAAATGATTAACAATTTCAAGTATTGCGGAGTCAGAAACATCACACTTGTTAAGCCAATGAAACTGTTCAAAATTTTTGTTGCTGACGTGTTTTTGATTTAATTCTAAATTCTTAATAAAACCAAATATTTTTGCTTTGGCATCAACCAGTGTTTTGTTTGGTCCTTGCAGTTGCTTGTTTAACAAATTTAGCTTCTCAAAGATATCGGCTAAATAACTTACATATGCTTTGCCATTTGTTGTCAACAATAATTTCATTTCAGGCTTATCAATTAAAAACTTTTCAAGCGAATCGAACAACTCAATAAATCGTTTCAAACAATTCCCTTTTGAAAGCCACCTTACTTCAGTGTGTAGTAACAATCGTACGTGGTCTTCATTTTGTTCCTCACAAAATAGCTTAAATAAGCGCTCGGTTTTAGCGCTGGCTTTTATTGAGTTAATGCATTTGATAACTGCATTGAGTACTTCATTGAGAATAGGAGACACGTTTTTAGCCACCAAGTTTTCTTTATGGATAACACAGTGAATAAGTATCATTTCTGGATTATCAGCTTTCATCAATTGTAAACAACCATTTTTTTTGCCCATCATATTGGGGGCACCATCGGCAGCACACGAAATAACATTCTTCATGGGGATCTCATTGTCATCCAAGTAGCATTTGAATATGTTGTAAATGTCTCTCGATTTGGTAGTGCTTTCTAATTGTTTACAAAAAAGCATTTCTTCTGCAAACTGTCCACGTTCAATATACCTGACATAAGTGATAAGAACGGCCTCACTGTCTCTTAGGGTTGACTCGTCCATCTGCACAGAGAAATTTCTGGTTTTTAGTTTCGATACGAGTTGTTTCTCAATGTCTTCGCCCATCTCGTCGATCCTTCGGCTGACAGTATTGTTACTGAGAGGCATCGCTTTTACATCCTCGTCATCTTTTTCTAGAACAGTTTTCATAAAAGCAGAAATTGAGGGCTTTATAAGATTCTCCCCTATTGTGTGGCTTTTCCCTGATTTAGCAATTAACAATGAAATTTGGTAACTAGCCTCTTGAATACGACTATTTGTTACATTTCTAGACGTGAAGATTGAAGTAATTGTCGTCCTTTTCTCGAACTTTTCCTTTAATGTTTTGAAGAAACTTAAATCTGAATTAATATAGTCCTTGTGTTTGGCCTTCAAATGTGCTTCAAGCCGACCCAATTTCATAGATTCGTTTGTCAAACATTGCTGGCATATCAAGCAAAACGGCATCCTCTCATCGTGAACTGCTGGTATAAATCCATATTTTAGATATTCCTCTGAATATTGACGAACTTTCTTTTTTGTTGTTCCACTCATTTTTTATGGGCTAAAAAAATAATAAAATTTTGTAAAAATAATTCAATGTGACAGAGTAAACGTAAATTTAGAAAAAATTGTTTTTGTGTAGATATAACACATTTTGCCGCAAGTGATACTTGGGATAAACGCAAGCCCTGAAGATTCCAGCAGACCAGATTGCAAGATTTTAATACTTCTGGACTCCTTTATCAAAGACACTGCTATTAGAGATATCTAAACTAACAAAAAAAGCACAATTAATTAGTTTTTAAATATTATCAATAGTTTTACAGTTTAAAAACTTATATAAAAAGCTAAATGGTTAAAAAATAAACATAAATTATTCAATACGTAAAAATTATATTTCTACAACATGTATTAATTAATTCATTTAATCATATAAATGACAGACAATTATGACATATAGGTGTTAAAAATATTAGAGTTAATTTTTTAGAAAAAAAATTGTGCAAAAACGTTGTTACTTAGCGACTTTAAAAGATACAAGATTTCTGCGACAAGAGATACAGCAAAGGGAAACGCTGAAAAGTTCACTTGCGGACTCTAATAACATAGTTTAGGTTTTGATACCATCTTAAAAATGCTTATTAATAAATTAAGTCCTCTATTTAGAAAATTTTCTTTTTCATATTATTTGTCACCTAAAGCGTTGCATTAAAAAAGCTCATAGCGAAGGGAAGAAATTATGTCATGTCAATTCTCAAATAGCCCCCCTCCAACCATCAAATTGCCCCCCTGTGGGGCGTACGCCCCACTTTGGGAAACACTGATATAGAATGTTATCATACTTAGGAATGATGAAAATATCATCTTCAGTTTGGTTTGATAAAGATTGTAGAACAGCGAAGAGACTGAAGAATAAGATGCTGATTTATTGGTCAAATATTAGTAGACAGTGGCAAAATACATGATCTTCTAAACAGTTTTGGTCTATTGTTAACAAATTTAGTATGAAAAAAAAAAACCTGATAGTCAAATTCCTCTTCAAGACTGGGAATGTTTTTTGAGGCATGATTTTTGTCATCCAATTTCTGATTCAATTCTTGAGTTTGATCATGAAAACGTTTCTCCTATTTTGGATGATCCAATCTCATTGTCGGAGCTAAAAACTTCAATCTGTAAACTTAAAAGAAAATCAGCTCCTGGCATGGATGGTATAAATAATGAATTTATTATATACTTACCTGATGAGGTGTGCTTAGAACTACTTACATTATTTAATAAGATTAAGGAAACATTGAAATTTCCTGACCATTGGAGAAATGTGTTGTTGAAAATGATCTACAAGAAAGGAGATAAATTAAAGCCTCAGAATTATTGTCCAATTCCGTTGTTAAACACTTTTAGAAAGTTGTTTACTGGAATTTTGGCAGATCGGTTGAGACAATGGATAATGGAATTCAACATTATTTCCCAGTTTCAGGGAGCATTTGTTCCAGGAAGAGGTACTATGTATAATGTCTTTATACTTAATGGATTAATACAGTATGTTCTGTCAAGGAAAAGACGTAAAATTTATTCGACATTTGTGGATTTGGAAAAGGCATTTGATAGAATTAATCTTAATATTTTGTGGGAAAAGTTATATTTATTAGGACTTTCAACATCGTTTATTAAGCTACCTAAATATCTATTTTGTAGTACATGGTACCATGTGAGTGGCAATTTGACAATTACTAAGGGTGTTATTTCTGGTGGGGGTTTGCCCCAAGGAGAGCCTTTAAGCCCTCTGCTGTTTAT